CAGGGGTTTCACCTTGTTGGCCAGGCTGGTCTTGAACTCCTGTTCATGATCTGCCGGCCTTGGCCTCCCAAAGTGCTGGGATTACACGTGTGAGCTACCACGCCTGGCCTGAAGATGAAATTATAGGGAAGCTTCTGGAGGCTGAGTGGTGACTCCTGCTGAGCCCTGGGGGCTGGGACGGGGCTGAAGGGCTGGGGGCGCTGCTCAGCAGGCAGGAGGTGCCCCGCAAAGGTGGTTCAGTCCCAGTCTTTCTGTCTTTCCTTAAAAACAATTCCAAGTGAACCACGGCTCAGTGGTAAAACACCTCCCAGATACTCCCCTCAGACTGGCACTCCGTTTGTTCAATTGCTTGGAGTGGGATTTTCATTCCGGCTGGATTTCCCCAAATATCTTAGTGTGACCCACTTTTCTTTTTCTTCTCTGGAGGTTACTCCGGCCTCCTCCCCTTTCTGCTAACTGCTGCTGTTAGAGCAGGACAGGGCCGCCCTCCACCAGCACAGAGACGCATCCGTGACGGCCCTCCTCTGCCGTCACCCGCCCTGCTGCACCCCTGCGCCCCCAGCCACATGCAGGGTCACTCACTCCTTGCTCGCTTCCTTCTTCCTGCCCACCCCCACCCCCAGCCCAGGTGGCACCCCTCAGGGAAGGAAAGAGAAATTTATTTCCCCAGAAGCTTGGCAGACCCCTGGGTGGGGCTTGTCAGAACTGCACGGAGTGGCCTGGGGCCAGGCTGCACTTTCTGAGCCACCTCAGGCTGCTCTCTGGTCAGTCCTGGTGCTGTCACCGGGCCGTGGAGCCTGCCTCCGGGGACTCAGTTCCAGGGCAGGGCAGCAGGAACAGCGCTGCCCCATCCCCGTGTGCTTCTTCGTGGGAACAGACTCGCACAGCAGGCTGGCCGAGGGGTGGGTACGGCCTGAGCGCCAAGGCACTCGCTGTCATTTGATGTGTCCCCCCAAAATTCAGGAGATGCCTAAGTGATAGTGTTGAGAGTGACTAGGCCCCGAGGGCTCCTTCCTGGCTGCAGGAGTAAGAGCCTCACAGAAGGCTGCATGCAGCATGCAGGTCCCCCGCTCCCTTCCCCTCCGCCTTCTGCAGCCTCAGGGCACAGCACAAAGGCCCTCCCCAGACGCCAGGGCCAGTGCCTGGATCTCTGGCTTCCCAGCCAGCGGAGCTGAGAAGTCAGGCTGTTCTTTGTAAATCACGCAGTCTCAGGTGCTTGGTTGGGGCAGCAGGAGTGGCTTAAGTGCGGCTGAAGCAGAGCTCTGCATGGTCCTGGCGGCCTGGAAAGAGCAGAAGCCCCCCACTGCCCACCTTCCTGCGCTGTCCATTGGTGCAGTCAGAGCCAGTGACTCAGGGAGGAAGGGCAGGAACAAAGGCGGAGGGCGGTTTGTAAGAGAATTTGGGGGGGTGGAAGAGGGGTGTCCCCAAGAGGCCTGAGAGCTGAGCTTGGAGGTGTAGGCCACAGGAAGCGGCAGGTCTGTCTGCAACCACCTCACACACGGGGTGAAGGACAGTGGTGGGGGGGAACACTGGCAACACAGGTGTGTGGGCAGGACGGGTGGGCCCACGGAGGAGGGATTTGAGCTGCCAAAGGGCAGAGGAGAGGGCGTACGTGCCGTGAGGCTAGCTCAGGATGAGTGCGCACATGCGAGGGGCAGGCAGGGGTGGGGGCAGCCGGGCCTGCACACTGGGGAGGTGGGTTAGGCAGGTGGGCCAGGGCAAGGCATCTGAGTCTCTGGCCTACGCAGGTGTTGTATTTGACCGAGTGTAGAAAGTTATCACAAGACAAAAGTATGCCAGGTTGCAGGGTCATTTATTATGCTGGCGACCACAGAGGACTCACGTCTCTCCAACCTGTGGCGGCAACAGGAGGGTGCCACGATTTTTTATACCCGAAAAACCACCTTGGGAGTGGGGGTGAGGGGCGGGGATGAGGATGAAAAGGCTTCAGACATTCCGAGGGCTAGTGGATTCTGTAAATTACCTCCTGGGCAGAGATGAGGGTGGGGGTCCCCGGACATTCCAAGGGATGGGGACTTTTGTCATTCCGTTTGTTACTTAAGTGGTTTACAGAAGTCAAGATAAACATTTGTTTACACATTATCTGGTTAAGGTGGAAATCACAGACCTTAGTTACTTATTACAAGTCGCAGGAGCCAAGATGGCATGGGTTAGGACTGCTTGCCTGTCACATTAGGGCCACAGAGAGCAGTCACTGATAAGAAAAGGTAAGCAGCTTTACATAGTTTTGAAGAACAAACTAACAGATCTATTTACAGAGGCCAAGGACAGTAGTTATTGTGAGGAGAATGGGGCAGCCATTTCAACTTATCTAAAAACAGTTTTGTATTTTATAAAATAGTTTTGCTCTGGTTCTGGCTCTAGGCCAGCACAATATCACACAGGGATGGGCTGCAGTGGCTTGGCTCCGGCAGTCTGGTCTGGATTCCTGTGCTTCCCAAGATGTGACTCTATCCTGGGCCTTGGGACAAAATCTAACACTCTGGAGACTCACAATGCCCAGCTCCAGCAGACCCTCCACCCAGATGAGACGGTGGGTGTTTGACCCTTAGGGGAAACCAGGCTAATTCTGGGACAGCATCTGAGGAGGAAACAGGGAAGTACAGACCTCAGCCCACGGCGTCAGCTGCTCGCATGGGCCTGGGGACAGGCGCAGGCCACAGCCCCAGGACGGCGAGACCTCCACACTCGGGAGCAAGGGAACGCCTGAGGCAGTCCCTGCCACGCCCGGCAGGTGGCGCTCAGGCCCCACAGATTCCCGAGTCTCCCTGTCAGCAAGTGCCTGGGCAGGGTCAGGGTGTTGCCCTTCTCACCTTAGTTTCAGGTCCAGTGGTGTGGTAGGGAGGGGGATGAGAGGGCAGGAGCCATCAGTGACGTACCTGGGCTGCTGAGGGGGTGACCAACCCCACCCCACAAAGGAGTGGCAGTGGCTGCTGGTGCCCTACATAGGCCCCTCTTGGAGGCTCAGGCCCTTTTGTAAAGAGCGCCTGCCTTACCCCATGTCCAAGAAAGCCACCTTCAAGGACCCTGCCCCATGGGGTGTCCCGTCCTCATCTTTGGTGTGTGCTGTATGCCCGTAGTGAGGTCTGCAGGCTTCACCAGATTCAGATTAAATACCTTAGTGAGAATGTCTTAAAATGGACATTTTGAGGCAGAGTGTCCCTGAGTCCCACTCCTGCCCTTTTTAGGGGAGAAGCCAGGGCCCACAGATCACAGTCTGCACACAGTAAGCCCCACGCTGCAGGACCTGACGGAATCTTTATTGTTGCTTCTGTTACATCTTATTCGAACTCAAGTCCTTACAGACAAGGCTGGAAAACCAATTTCTGCTCTACCCACACCTCAACTTGCTGAGAAGAAATAGGATCTAACATCAGGAAGTCACATCTTCGCCATTCCTCTTCCTTTCTGCCCTGGGCATTCCATGTGTGCCACCAGGCGCCATCAGGACGAGGGCTCTGCACCCACAGCAGCAGACAGGTGTGAAGCTCAGAACCTCCTAACAGCCTCCCTCCAGCGTCTTCTTGGCCTGCAAGATAAAGTGTTTTGTCTGAATGGCTTGCTTCCAAGTTAGACACAGCTTGAAAGAAAGCTACCACAGCAGATGCCGTGTTCTACCAAATACAGAGACTTCGGTGCTGGCACGTGCTGGAGGCTCGACTGGTTGGAGAGCCATGGGCTGGTTCTCTGGGTCAGTGGTTCAAGGGACAAGGGCCTTGTGACACCATTACAGACCTCACTGCTGTGCCCTCCTCTGACCCCCACCACATGCCACATTTGCTCCCATGCTCTCATGAAGGGAAAGCAGGAGGCCTCCCCCACAAAAAACTTTTTTTTTTTTTTTTTTCAGAGACTGGGTCTCAAACTTCTAGGCTGAAGCAATTCAGTCACCTCAGCCTCCTAAAGTGGTAGGATTACGGGTGTAAGCCACCATACCCGCAAAAGTACAACTTCTGATGAGTCACCCACCCTTGCATCCAAGGCTGCTGGGGGCAGGCAGGAATGAAGGCTGTGGGGCTTTTATTCAAATATCCTTTCTCTGGCCCAAATCTCTGGATTGACAGCTTCCAGTAAACAGAGTCAGCACCGGCGTCACAGCCCGCCCAGACACACTGAGTCGGCGCGCCCGAGGTGGTACCCAGTGCGGCTGACACTTAGGGAAGCAGCCTCAGAATGACTTAAAGACCCACGGTCAGGAAGCCCATCGTGCCAGTTGCGAGGGTGGCGGGGGGGGGGTGCCCGGCTGGGCAGGTGCTGAAGGAATCTACCGCAGCTGCACAGGTGGCTGCGAGTGCCGGAGAAGTGAGACCCAGAAGGTTCTGGGTACTTGCTGGGAGTCCTGTGTCGGGTCGATGCTGGCATGACACCCCTCGGCGGCAGTGCCAACACGAAAACTTAACGCGTTTTACAAGGCGCCTTCTTGCACACACCCCTCATCCTTTCTGAGATTAGTGCCAGTCCCGCTTTACAAGCATGCGGGCACACACCCAGGACCGCCGAGGTTTCGCGGGCTCGTCGGCGGCTCGGTGGTTTGGTCAGCCGGGGTCTAAAGCACGCAGCGGCAGCTCAAACTTTGAACCAACGGGGAAGCAAAGGAAGGCCGGGGCCCGCCGGCCCTTGGAGGGGAAGAGCTCGGAGGGGCCCGCGCCCACCTACCGCGGCGGCGAAGCAGCTCCGCAGGGCCTCGAACTCCCGCGCGCAGAGGTCCTTGCTCAGGCGGCCGCCCGGGGCCGTAGAGGCCTGCACGCACCTGCCGTACGCCGCGGCCTGCGGAGGGGACGGGCGCGGGTCGTGGGGTCCCGGTCCCCGTCCCCGTCCCCGTCCCCGCCCTTCCTCCCCGTCCCCGCCCCGCTCGGCCCTTCCTGCCCCGCAGCACTGGCCCGCCCGGGGCTCCTCACCTCGGCCCCGCAGGCGGCCAGCCGCTCAGGGAAGGCGCGGAGGCGGCTCCGCACCCGGCCCCACACCGCTCCGTTAGCCGACATGGGCCGCTGTTTCCAGAGCCCCTGGACGCCGCCATATTAGGTCCGTCCTCTTCCGGCGTCAAACAGCTTGATAGGTCGGTGCTTCCGCCCGTCATCGTTCCTGAGCTTTTCAAGCGCTCCTGGCCCTGAGCCCCCCCCCTGCAATTGGCTTTTGTCCTTGTCTGTCTCTGCTCTGGGACTTCGGATTGGTCTAGGTGGGACGGAAGCCGCCCTCAGGGCCCGTCCCACCACGAGAGAGTGGGCAGCGGAGCCGGACGCGCGCGGTGATTGGAGGGCCCGGGCCCGGCGGAAGCGGGGCGGACCGGGAGGGGACCTGCATCATGGCGGCAGCGCCGCCGCTGCGGGACCGCATGAGCTTTCTGCACCGGGTGAGTGAGGGCGGCCCGCCCCGTCCCCGGCCCCGGCCCCGGCCCCACGTGTCCTCTCGGGCGCCGCTCGCCCCGGGCCGGAGCCGTTGACCTTGCGTCCCGGCCCTGGGGAGCCGCTTCCGTCCCCTGAGCAGCCCGCCCGCCGCGCGGTCCCCGGGCCTCCCGAGCCGGACCCGCCGAGCGCGAGGGCGACGGGCACAGCCAGCCCTCGGGCGAGAGAAGCCTCGGCCAGCATTCAGTGGCCTCCGACAGGCGGGAAGGAGCGGCGGGCCGGGTGGACGTGGAGCCGCTGCGTCCCCGCTGCCGGCGCCCGGGGGGCTCCGGTCCTGGAGAGGCACCCCGGGGTTGCCGAGAACACAGACGCCTCGAAGGGTCGGAGAAGGACGCACCGTTGTGAGCCCATCTTAGTAAACGCTCTAAGAAGGAGAGGTCGGGGCCAGTCCCCAGGTGTCGTCCACAGCAAACTGTCTCTATCAGCCCCGAGCTTTCCCAGGCTGGGTGGTCCCAGGGCGCGGCCTTGGGCTGCCAGAAGCCACGCTGGGGTTGGTGGAGCTCTCCGTGCAGGGTTTGGACAGAATCGTTCTGTGCTGTGTTCTGCAGTCGGCAGCTGTCACCTGCAAACCTCTCAGCCCCGTTTAGGGCTTGATGGGCAGAGTGTCAGTGATGTGTGTCCACAGCCTCGGGAAACACTTCAGGTCCACGTTTTTTTGTGTTGTCACTAGATCTTGGCCCTCACGAGGTCGGTCCCAGCCTTGTCCTCTTAAATACTCTTGAACTCCTTTCTTCTGTTCTGTTACTGAATAATGCAAGAATGAGTGTTTCCAATTTTCACCCCATAAACCATACGTCTTCCTGCCAGTAAGTAAGCATGAAACAAATAAGTACGTCTGCACTAAGCGAACATAAAACATATGGTGTCACTGCGTTCTCAGGAGCGGTGGAGCCAGCCAGGCCAAGCGGCTCTGTCACTCTGCCAATCCAGGCTCTAGAGAGGCGGGACCATTCATAGTCCCCTGCGTGGAAAAGGGGCTTGCCTGGGCCTTGTTTGGCTTTCCTAGTCAGTAGGTAGGTACAGGAAAAGTACCTTCAAATAGCCTTACATGCTGGGAAGTGCAGGGAGGCTGGGGGCTGTGTCCTATCTTATCCCAAGTGGCGCAGCCCCTCCCTGGAGAACCACCATTGATTTGCCTCTTCTCTGAGGCTGTTTGTCCCTGATGGTTGAGAGAGGACCCTGCTGCAGGCTCCCTGTGACCCGTAGCACCATTCTTGTTCCTTCCCAGTCCTTTCTCCGGCCATGTCAACAGCAAGAAGTGGGCCGTTTCCATCCCTTTGGGAGCTGTGGGCTCACCCTGTGGGAAATGGCGCCTCATCACGGCAGAGGCTCTTGTTCCCTTTCAGCTCCCGATTCTCCTGAAGGGGACGTCGGATGATGACGTCCCATGTCCCGGCTACCTGTTTGAAGAGATTGCTAGTATCCTTCCTCAACGTCCCTGTGTGGGGGAAAGAGCAGATACAGGGTCCTGGTGTAGGGCAAAGGGTCACTGGGGGTTCTGCTGTCCCTGGAGGGATCTGCAGCTCCTTTATGTTGAAACCAGGCACGGGTGGGGTCTGAAGGCTGCAATACTGATGGCTTGGGAGACCCTGGAAGCCCCAGCGCTCCTGACGGCAGGGCCTGCAGCAGATGACTCCAGGCAGCGTGAGCTGGGAGGTCCCAGGGCCATTTCCCTGAATGGCCCAGCACAGCCTTCATCATCTCCCTTCCCTAACCTGAGCGTGCCGCAGAAATCTCCCACGAGTCTCTGGGCAGCAGCCAGTGCCTGCTGGAGTACCTCCTGACCCGCCTGCACAGCAGCTCCGGCCACGGGAAGCTCAAGGTGAGCCCCTGCCCACGGTGCTGAGGCTGAAGGAGCAGATGAGCAGCGCCGGGTGGCTGGTGGCTCTGTGCCCTTGGGGCGCTCCTGGCCCTGCCCTGGGTGTCCCATGCCCGGCCCGCCCAGTGCCGCTGACCACCCCACTCCCCAGGTGCTGAAGATCCTGCTCTATCTGTGCAGCCACGGGTCCTCCTCATTCCTGCTCATCCTCAAACGCAACTCCGCCTTCATCCGGGAAGCTGCAGGTACAGGGGTCATGATGCGCTCTGGAAGAGCCAGGGCCGTGGACAGTGGGGGAGGGTGGTGAATCCTCCGGGCTTGAGAAGGAAGACGTCAGCTAGAGCCCTCACCGCGGCCTGGTCCTGATCGCAGCGCTGCCTTGCTGATCCTGGCCGATCCCCGGCCTCTCCACCTGCTGCCTACCCTCACCCCAGCTGGCCGGCTCGGCCTTCCCTGATGCACCCTGCCCCCTCCCTCCTCTGGGTCCTGCGTGCCTGCCACGCGTCCCTGGGCCTTCGGCTGTGTCTGTCCCTGCACTTGCTACCTGGATGCCATTGTTCGTTTCTGTGTGCCCTGAGGGTCCTCCCCGCCATCCCAGCACCCACACGTAGCAGGCTCCGGGCCCGTTCACATGTCCTCCCCAAGCCATGAGTTCTCCTCCTAGGGCTGCTTCTCAGAGCCCAAGGCAGAGGGAGGGTGGGGCTGGGAGGCAGGAGAGGTGGCCTGGCTGGTCTGTCCAGGCAGCAGGTGGGTCTGGGAGAGTCATCCCCCAGGCAGTGGGCAGTGCCGTGTGCATCTGCCTAATGAGTACTTGTGGGGGCTGGGCATGAGATCTTCCGTGGGGAGGAGGGAGGCTGGGCTCCAGGTCGCCTTGGGGCGCAGCGTGCCTAGAGCCCCTGTCCCCTGCCACCCCTGAAGGGAATTCGGGGGAGGGAGACTGAGTCTCTCTTGTGCCGCTGCTTGCTTGTGGAAAACCTCAGCGTGTTCCATCTGCTGGGCTCACCCCAAAACTGGTGTCAAAACCAGTGCTGCCCCACTTGATGGCATGTGGGCCTGTGGCTCAGAGGGACAGACTGTCCCACGGGGGCCAGCGTCGTGGGCCACCGTAGACAGCTGTGACAGGCAACTTAGGTGGCAGATGCCCCTGACGGGCCACTGTAGACAGCTGTGATACTCAGCTTAGGACTTAGGTGGCGGATGCCCCGAGGAGGGGCAGTGCCGGGTGCTCTCGCCATCCTAAGGTGCTCCTCAGAGCTTTCGAGCTGAGGCAGTGCGGGCCATTCATCCTTAGGATTCACCGGATCAGAGGGGCCCAGCCTCCCAGGCCCCTCCCATGGCTGTGGCTGGTACAGTTATGTTGTGGCCTCGGTGGTCTTGGGGACATGCCCTGGGGGGTGGGGCTGTAGCAGGCCCTGGGATGGGAAAGGCCTTTCTCAGACCCGAGGTTCTTGTTGGCACCAGAGCCTCCGCTGTGCAGAAGCAGTTGTGAATGTTTGCTGTCGCCTGCCGTGCCTGGGCACAGGCTATGGGAGGTGTCTGCACAGGCCCTGTGAGGAAAGCAGGTGCCAGATGCTGCACATGAGAGACGGGGCACCCTGCAGCAGGCGGGGTGCGCAGCAAGGATGGTCGCCCCACACGCGCAAAGTGTAGCCGTTAACGAAAGAGGAAAGAGGCCAGGCGCGGTGGTTCACGCCTGTAATCCCAGCGCTTTGGGAGGCTGAGGCAGATGGATCACAAGGTCAGGAGTTCAAGACCAGCTTGCCCAGCATGGTGAAACCCCATCTCTACTAAAAATACAAAAAATTAGCCGGGCATGGGGTTGCGCACCTGTAATCTCAGCTACTCGGGAGGCTGGGGCAGGGGAACTGGTTGAGCCCAGGGGGTGGAGGTTGCAGTGAGCCGAGATCACACCACTGCACTCTAGCCTGGGTAACAGAGCGAGACGCTGTCTCAAAAAAGAAACAGAAAACAAAAAAGGAAAGGAGGAAGGAAACGAGGAGGGAAGGGGAAGGGAAGAAGGAAGGGAGGAGGGAAAGGAGGAAGGGAGGGAGGGAGGGAGGGAGGAAGGAAGGTAGGTAGGTGGCTGACGGTCAAAGACATATTTTTTTTACTTAAAGGTGGAGAGGCGCTCCTGGCCGATGGTGGTCAGGAGCACTTTCTGTTACAGACTAAAAGCATGTATTGGTTTTAGCGTGAGGGGCTTTTCAGAGGCTGGGGATGTTTGTGTGTGTGCAGAAGTTTATGGCAGGGTCGAAGTGTCTGGAGGAGGGGATATTATCTTGGAGCAGACATCCTTCGGCCAGAGGGTGGTTATCTCGAGGCTGGCATCTTCCCAGGGGAGGTGGTTTATCTCAGGGCCAGCATGTCTCTGGTCGGGAGGAGTTTGAATGTTTCTGGTTGGAGATGTTATTTGTGGTTTATGGGCATGTTGACTTTAGCTATTAGACTGATGCTGTGTGGATTTAGGCAGTTTTTTATAAGGTGAACTTTAGAATGAGGGGCTTGTCCAAGATGATGGCACTCCTGCTCTGTCACCGAGGAGGGGCAGTGTGGGGTGCAGGCAGGTGGCCCCGGCTCCAACAAGATGGCAGCCGAAGGGTGGCGTCTTACCGGCAGGTCATCCAGCCACTGACTCAGCTTGTGGCCGCCAGCCTTGGGCCCAGGGGCAGCCAGGGCATCGTCTCCAAATCACGGGGCCAGCCTGCCAGGGTGGAGATGGGCGGCCGAGGGGTGAAGGGGACTCGGTTGTGATGGAGGCGCCCGCCTTCCCACGCATGGCCCTCCAGGGCTGCTCAGAGGAGCAGCTCTCAGGATGAGTCCTGAAAGGATGC